TGCATAATTTGAATAAGGTAGAAGTATTTAATCTCTAACACTATGCTAAGGACCAAAAATTGTGTGCTGTACTCTTGCAAATGTCCAAACAATCTGCAGTTTTGTGCATTGAAATTAAGTCCATTTTGATTCTGAGCAGCACTTAAGTGACAATTCTGCTCAAATATCACCAGTTCTAAAATATCCTTTAGCTTTTGATCATAAGTGTCACAGTTTATCAGAAAGACATGCAACTGGAAGCATCCAACTCATCTCATACACATAACTGATAAAATTTGAACAGCCGTTAACATGTAGCACATTTATGTCCCTAGAACTGAGGATCCCAGATCTATAGGACAGGCATCCATCTCCTATATATTGTGTTATGACAGCAGGCTGGAAATTAATCTACTTCCATTATGTGAATAACAATAACACCTAAGTATATAAGGATGGACTTGAGAGTATGAGAAGGTTTTTGGGTTTGGACCTATTTCCTGAAATGTGCATTTGGGGTGTTGTTACTGAACAGCAGTGAAGGTGAAGTGCCGCGTCCTGCACTTTGGCCACAACAATATGCAGTGCTACTGGCTGGAAAGCTGCCTGGCAGAAAAGGACCTGGGGGTGCTTGTTGACAGCCAGCTGAACATGAGCTAGCAGTGTGCCTAGGTGGCCAAGAAGGCCAACGGCATCCTGGATTGTATCAGAAAAAGTGTGGCCAGCAGGACTAGGGAAGTGATTGTCCCAATGTACTCGGCACTGTTGAGGCCACACCTTGAGTACTGTGTCCAGTTCTGGGCCCCTCGCTACAGGAAGGACATGCTGGAGTGTGTCCAGAGAAGGACAGTGAAGCTGATGAAGGGTCCAGAGGGTAAGTCCTGAGAGGAGCGACTGAGGGAGCTGGGCTTGTTTAGCCTGGAGAAGAGGAGGCTCAGGGGTGACCTTATCACTCTACAACTACCTGAAAGGAGGTTGTAAGCCAAGTGGGGGTCAGCCACTTCTCCCAAACAACCAGCAAAAGGATGAGAGGACACAGCCTCAAGTTGTGCCAAGGGAGGTTCAGGTTGGACATCAGGAGAAATTCTTCACTGAGTGGTTGTTAAATATTGGAATGGGCTGCTCAGAGAGGTGGTGGAGTCACTGTCCCTGGAGGTGTTCAAGAAATGACTGGGTGTGGCACTTAGTGCCATGGTCTAGTTGACAAGATGATGATCAGTCAAAGGTTGGACTAGGTCTCAGAGGTCTTTTCCAACCTAAATGATTCTGTGATTCTGTGACATTGTAGCTAGAAGCTCAACCTGAGTGAGTTTGCATTAGGGAACTGTTGTTATTAATTTCTCACTCTCTTTTTTTTCTTTTTTTTTCCCCTACTTTCTTATATTCTCAGTAATTGTTGTACAGAGCTTTCTTCTTTCATATTATTTGAATAGGTACCCAATGGGATAGGGCTAATGTTTTGTGGATCCTAATACTCAGCAGTAACCTAATAACTTTGTGGAGAGGTACAAATTTATACCATGGTATTCCATGGTTTTTATAGCAGCACTTCTGATAGTCATCCTTGAATAACACTTGTTGAATTCATTAGGGAACATTGATGTTTGCTAAACAGCAGATCTTGTTAATAATTCAGTTCCTTTCAAGCCCTTTAAAACATGATTCTCATGTCTATAAATGTGATTTGTTTGCAAATTGGATAAGCCGACAAAGAGTGCTTTTTGCCAAGAAAAAGCACAATATAACAGCAAGGAATGGAATGAGTTGAAGGAGGAGAAGCTGAGGTAAAGGACTGCAACGTTCAAGTTGTAGACTTAAAGGAACTTTCTTCTCTTTCAAATGCTCTAAGGAAAATTTTTGGTCTTCATTTATTTTGTACTATTTTGACTGTCTTCCTTGCCATTTGATATGACTGAAATTATAAGGACATTAGAGACTGCTGCATTTTAGGCAAGTGACTTGGCAAGAACTTTTTTCTGCTCTCACTCTATATCAGTATTATGTGGACTAAACTCTATTTATCAGCTACAAAGAGATCCAGATGCAGGTTTTCACCCTGTCTGACTTTCCCAGCTATCAGAATTCTATCTCCCTTTATACTTAATAGAGAAAGAAAGAAGGATTCCCATTTCTCTACAAATTAAGAAACTGGAGTACTCAGAACTCAACTCTATCTCCTGGAGGCAATGTCTAATGTAAGAGCAGATGAACTTAGTTACCCAAGTTAAATGCCTGAAGGTAACAATCCCATAATACCGCTGACTTCAGTAAGAGTTGAGAGCACTTATTAGTGCCCAAGAAGTCCTCAGGTCTTTGAGAGCTCCATCTGCTATTAAAAAACCAAGGTAACCAGCAACTACCCTACAACAAACAAAGTAAACAAGACTTAACTTTCAGAGCACTTGTACTTTACAGGTACTTTCTTTTTCCTGCAGGAAGTACAACTTATTTCACAAGAACAACCTGAGTGAGATTTACTGCAAAGACCAATGCAAGCGAGTATCAGCTCTGCAGTCACTGTCAAGCCACAAGCTTGGGCTTGGGCAAGGTCACCGAGGGCATCACTTCCCTCTGCTTCTCCCTTCTCTCTCTCTTATGCAGTGACTGCAGAAAGACTCTTTGTAAGGATCTTAGACAATCTATTGGATTTTAAAGGGGCTGCAGACTGCACTGTTTAAAACTGTTTTTAATGTTCACCATAAATTTCACCTTACACATAACTATCTAAAGGATATTTTTTTCTTATATTTTAAGAGCTGTCCATAGGAGGAACAGGGGTAAAAGGGGATTATATACAGTGCTGTTGCTGCTATAAAGCTGAGCCTTGCAGGCTGTCTGTGCGGTGAGCACAGGAAAATGAAAACAGTATTTTACAGCAGTAGTGAATCTAAAATGAGAATTGTTCCCGTCAGTAAAGCATTTTTTTTAAAGAAATAACTGTAGTCTAAAAGTGACATGTTGGACTTCATTCTGTTACTGGATGCTTACTAAAATCCTTACTAAAAGTCCTTCTTGGCTGTTTTTTTGGGTCACAGTGGTCTGGCTACTGCAGGCAGAGCCAATCCTGATAGCATTGCTTGGGCAATCAAGAGAGTGCCTTTGGGATATATATACCCAGGCTTTTGTACACAGCTGTTCCCATTTTTCAGCAACTATGTATGCTGGAAAGACTGCAAGAAGAAAGACAGAAGTATGTTTGAGATGTTGTTATTTATCTTATTATACAGTAAAGAAAGTTCATTACCCATGAGTGTGTGCATTATCAACAAGGTACATGAAGACAGGTTGAGAGAGTTGAGGTTTTTCAACCTGGAGAAGAGAAGGCTCCAGGGAGACCTTACGGCACTTTCCAGTACCTGAAGGGGGCCTACAAGACAGCTGGAAAGGCACTGTTCACAAGAGCATATAGTGATAGGACCAGGGGTGATGGCTTCAAACTGAGAGTAGGTTAGATTAGCTAGTAGGAAGAAATTCTTTACTGTGAGGGTGATAAGGCACTGAAACAGGTTGCCCAGAGAAGCTGCAGATGCGCCATCCCAACAAGTGTTCAAGGCCAGGTTGAATGGGACTTTGAGTAACCTGGTCTAGTGAAAGGTGCCTCTGCCCTTGGCAGGGTGGTTGGACTATAGACAGTCTTTTAGGTCCTTTCCAACCAAAACCATCCTGTGAGTCTGATTAATCACTGAAAAAGAGGATAAGGGTGATAATGCAAATGATCCCACCTAGTGATTCTGCTGTCTGAGAGATGATCAACACTTTACCTGTTCATTTGGTTTCTACATTCAGTAAGTGGTCATATGCTTGGAAGCATACAAATAATCGTTGTTTGTGTGTGCATGTCACAGAGAGCTTACTGCATTTATTTTTTATGTTATTTGACCGTTTTCTCCAGTATGGGGTTACCTCCAGAAATGCGGCTACCCTCGATCAGCTCTGAAATCAGAGCTAGTGAAACAAGCAAAAAGATATCTGTCTTCTTCTCTATGAGCACAAGGATCTGCTTCTGCCTGACAGGCAGCAGCTGCTTGAGTGGAGATAATAGTACTGAGTTTGAGTTGTAGGGCTTGAAGAGATTTTGTTATGGCAGTATGAGCATCCTTCCCATTTACCACTGACGTTCTTGAGATCAGCCATGGTACTCTAAGGTCTTGCCCATGTAGAGAAAAACTGAAGGAGAAATGGCAATTGCCAAGAGACCGTAACTCTCAAACTCAGCTAACATGTCTGGGAATCCGAGGATGAATAATTTCAGGAATGATATGAGTGCTTCATAGCTAAGCACACAGACATGAGCAGAGTATGATGTGATGTCTGCACACGATCTTATCTCAACGTTCTTGGAGAGAAAGGGGGATTTTTTCAGTTGATGGAAATTTGATATCTAAGTCTTCTGAGCATTTGTTGGAAATCTTACCGTGAGGCTTATCTGTTTAGGCATGCATTCAGCAAAAATTATTTTTGTTTGAGGAGTATTGGGATGGGATTTTATCTGAATAAGGGTGGGAGTAGGCTAGGTTCCAAGTTCTAAACAGATTTTTTTTTTTTTTAGTTCTAACAGATTCACTCTACTTATTACAAAATACAAAGAAATCCACTTTCATGTACTTTAAACTAACAGCTGCCTCTCTGAAGAATTCTGATGCCAATTATAAAACATGGCTACTTATCTTGTGGGAAAATTGTATGATATGACTATAGCACCTTTTCTTTTCTCATAATGGACAATGTTTAATTTTGCCCAAAGGCAAACCGTGTAACATATTTGCATAAGTCAAACAATGGAAATGGAAATATATCAGCTGGAGACGTAGAATATTTTTTATATATTGTGCTGAAATATGCAATCCCTATTCAAGTAAAAAAATCTAAGAGACTGGTACTACTTCTGTAAGTACAGCAATAATAAATCTTTTGTATTATCTTCCCCCCCTCCCCCCAATGCATCTGGTCCATTCTTTCTTGTTAAAAACATAACTCACCAATGTATATGTGTTTTTCTACTGCATAAAGAATGAACAGATAGACCGTTGAGCAAACTGCTTTTAGATCCTGAAACTGAAATTAGGATTTTGCTCAAGCCATTCCTCCAACTTTTGAATGAGGCAAATGGAGTGAAAAGTGCATGGTAGGCATGAGATGCCACAAAATATTATCTCTCTTTTCCATTGGGAATGGAAGTGTTCCACTTTTTCAGTCACATTGGTTGACCAGACACCAGACAAGACTGGTGAATACAAGACTGTTAAGCATATGACAAGGCTCCAGTTTAAATTTTGTATACTTTTTTTCAGCATATTTCTGGTGAGGGATAGGCCTTTTTTCCTTGAAATTTAAATCTACTGGCTAGATGGGTTCTATTTAAATGCCATGAAACATATTCTGAGGGTGTTATCAGTCATAGGAGATTATATTTTTAATTGAGCTTAGTATTTCCAGAACGCTTGAGTACTCTGTGATGCTCTCAAGTGCTAGTGTTAAGACATCATATTAGCGCATATTCAATGTGCTCCAATCCATCCACCACACCATCAGGGCATCCATCTGCCCGGTAACCCTCCTCAAAGGGGGCCGCTGAGAAACATTTAAATTCAGATCTCATTTCTTCCTGAAAACAGACAGGTACAAGATGGTCATGTGCAGAGGTTCTAAAAACAAAATCCCCTCTGGATCAGACCTGCCACCTTTGTGGAGATTTACCTCCTTGCAGAAAATAGTGAGCAGCCAGCATGAACTCTTGTCTGCAGAATGGAAATATCAAGCTGATCAACATTTCCGCATTGCTAGCAAGATAATCCTTCATTTGAGCTGCTTATCTGAAATCTGTCTCATGAATCTGATGGGAGGATTTGCCCTAAGTAGGTAATTATGGTGTTGCTAAACTTCCTCCTCTCTCCTTATTCCTTCACTTTAAGGAAAATCATGCAGCTATAAAGAATATAAACTTCAATTAAAAACAAATGGAACATTATCTAGCTGAACACTTATTAAGGCACCTGAATTTATCTTTTAAACTTTCATTCTGAATCTTATCACTTCCACAGATGCTTGCTGTTGGTGGATTTTTAGTCAGAGCTAATCTGGCTGTTCTGACAAAATTGTGGGGTTTGGTGGGTTTGGTTGGTTTATTTTTAGTATATTTGGAGGTTTTTTGTTTGCTTGGGTGTTTGGGTTGTTGTTGATCTGACTTAGGGCACTTAGATGGAGAATTCCTCTGCATCAGGCTAAGCCCTGTCTGTTGTCCTGGTCTGAACCTGGCTGTCAGGGAATTGCAAAGAGAGAATAAAGACGCTGCCAGATTAATTTTTTCTGGGGCATGTGAGACTCTTATAATCTTCTACTCTAACTTATACTGCAGAGAGGAATAATGGCTAAGGAATTGGTTTTTTAAGGTATTTTGTACCTAATTGAGATTTATGAGGTAGCTTTGGTATGTTTTGCAATTTTAAATGCCGCTTTTGACCCCTAATGTGATGATGATAAAGAATTGCAAAGACATGTTGACACACATGATGAAAAGGACCATGGTAATATGGGAAATAGTTTGGTTCATTTCTCATGCATGTAATACATTTTGTCCACGAGGAAACATTTCACTGGTTATTCAGATTTCTAACCTGACCTCTTCAGGAAGATCCTGTTCAGGTTCTGCTTGCACACAAACTTTCTTTTCCCTCAGAATGAGGTCAGTATATTTTTCTTGGTGCCGGCACTGAACGGAATTGGATGTTCACTGTGCCAGCGGGTCTGCCTTAGGGTGGGACTTCTTATGCAGCTCAGCAAAATGTGCATCTCCTGAGACATGTGAGAAAAGGACTTTAATTACAGTAATAAAAGGTGTTCTCCTATCAGAGAAGAGATACCTGTAAGATTTAAGTTCTACTTAAATAGTTATAAAAGCTCTCATTCTCCTTTTAATGAGTTGGTGAACAGGAGAGATCTGGATTTCATGTGGCCCTGGCCTCTTGGGAAGCTGCTGGGCACAGCCTTTCTCCTGGAGAGCTCTCCTGCCCAGAACTGAGTGTGTTACTCTCTGCAACAACCCAGTCCCTAGAGAAAAAGGAGAAAAATTTACTCAGTTGTTCTTGACATGAAAAATGACAACCTCAGAGGGAGGAATGGCTCCTGTCCAACCTCTTTTATGAATTCCTAGAAGTGGCTACAGTTTCTCCCTGGAAGGTTTAAGGTTTTGGGGATGTTCTCAAATTGCCTTTCATTAGCTTTACATAGCTTAATTCTGTGTGAATCCCAGAAGTTCCCACTTAATCCTCAGGAAGTTTTGGACTCTAGTATTTCAAAAGTAGAGGCGTAAGTAAGTGTTTTAGGAAGTCATCTGCTTAGGTATTTCTGTGATTTTTTTTTTAAATTTTTTTTTCTTTACACCCCTTTCCCACCTTCATCAGGACAGGTGTTACCTTACCTCTTACTCATGTTCATTGTTGTTGTAAAATTCTTAGAAGCCTTTTGGTAAGTAGTTCGTAGAATTCTGCCAAATGTGAACTTATTTGAACAAATAAATGCTTCCTGCTAATTACTCCAACTAGGCACTCTCCAGGGCATGCTGAAGTGTTACAAGAGTTGTGCTTAAACCATGACCATAAGCTTTTTTCTTCTCCCCCATGGATTTTAAAAGTATTTTCTTGAACAGCATGCAAAGAAACTGTGTGGGGGTCCTAGCCACTTACATCACAATATACACAAGACCAAGTACTGAATTATGACAGATTTAGTACAAAACACAGCTTCAAATTTTGTTTTGCATTTAGTTCCTGATAAGACCTGTGCACAGAGGCTTTACCAGCCCTGAGGCAGTAGGATCCTCCACATGTGCCCAGTGGTTTGATGCCCAAAGAAATTCATCAGTTCATGGAAACCTGTGTGGGACTTGCTTGAGATCCAGTTTGGGTGTTTTTTAACTTCTGTAGGTCCTTGCTACACAGGATTGTCTTCCATTATTACATTTCATAGGAATTTCATAACTTGAGCAACAGACTCTGCAAAAAGAATGTGAGGAAATAGAATGACTTTTCTCCTGCTTTCTTGAATTAAGAAGTTATTTCCTAAGGCTATCTACTTAACTGCAGCTGCTGTATGTGCCTGGAGATATTAGAAGAAATAGCATTATGGCTCAGAACAGAGGCTTGATTTCTGGTTTTGATTTCTTCTGCGTTTACCACCAGGCCCATTGGGGCCCTTACGCTACCAAGATTGAGTACATTGTTAAAAGCCCATGCGGTGGATGGTTTGTTTCCCCTTAACTATTTTTCATGGTTGGTGGCAGGAAAGTTTCTTGCCACTCCCTTATCTGAGGTTTATGTAATGAATTGATCATAGGCAGTGCTCCCTTTGAACTTATTCCAGTTTGGCATAGCTCAGCTGTTCCTGAGCCACTGTGACTCCCAGAGGAATTTTTCCTGACTTTACATGTAGGTAGACAATTTCTCCCTACCATGGGCATTTTGAAAAATGTCCCCAACAAGAGTCAGGCTCTTGAAAAGATACTGAAATGGCACCCTTGTGCAGGCATGCTCTGAGTTTAGAGTCTAAAAATATGGACCAGCTCTGATTCCAGGGTACATGTTGAACTTCTTCTCTGTGTGCTGTGCTTCACTGAGTGAGATACTCTAAGTGCATTCTAAATAACTCTGCCTACTAGGGTCAGTTAGAATTTCCTTACACAAGAGTCTTAACACATTTATGCATTCTGTGTATATGTGTGTTTTCTCATGGTCACTGACTTGTATTCCCATTATCCCAGCAAACAACAAACTAAACCTTTTACCAAGAAGTAATGATATCAGATGTAATACTTCTCAATAAATAACTCTACCAGCTTCTTTTACTGGAAGCCTCTAGATACTGAACAGAGCAACCCAGTATTACATTGATAAATATCCAAAGAAAGCAAACTGGAAGTTCTTCTTAGTGATTACCAACCTGGGGTAAGCAAAAAGCAGAACATACCATAAAATAGCAAACAGTAAGTCCTTGAAGTTGCTAGAGCATGCTGACAGTACCTGCTGACATGTACCCTGCTGACAGTCTTGTGGGCTCACTTCATAGTCCATGAGTTTTATGATGATGGTAGTGAAACACTGAAACAGGTTGCCAAGAGAGGTGGTGGATGTCCCATTCCTAGAAACATTCAAGGCCAGGCCGGATCGGGATCTGTGCAACCTGGTCTAGTGGAAGCTGTCCCTGCTTATTGCAGATAGGTTGGATCAGATGACCTTTAAAGGTCACTTTCAACCCAAAATATTCTATGAAATAACTCCAAAGTAACATACTCCAAAGTAACATATCAAACTGCAAAATCACCCCCATCCCCTAAACAAACACCCAAACTCTGTGTATGGTGTGGACAGTGAGGTGCATTTGCCCAAGCATCTCTTCCAAACTATAACTGTAGGCCAGGCAGTTGCCTGCTGGCAAGAAAGTTATTCCTCTTTTTTTCCTCCTTGAGTCTCTTTTTGAGTTTCTGATTCACTTCCTTATCTCCTAAGACAAAGAAAACTTAGAGTGTTCATAACTACTGCTGCAGGCTCCCTGGCAAATAGGAGTGTTCCCTCTGTTCTCTCCGGAGAATTTTTCTTCTTCCTCTCCACCAACAGGTGGACCAGAGATGTCTCACCTCTGCTGCTCTCCACAGGAACCTTGCAGTAAAAATAATGTACTTGCTTGTTTGTCTTCCCAGAAATGATCCCAAATCTTGACGTTACTTCCCTAGCCTTTTTTGCCAAATCACTTTTACCACTTGTGTGTCTGTTCTCCTCCACTGGCAGAATGCAAATATACCAGGTGGGACCAACTGTCAAGGTCTTTTTTGCCCTCTTTAAAAATATTCAATGGCTGTAAAACAAATTTCAGGGCACCATTAATAAGTAAATAAATAAATAAAACCAATAAAAATTGCTTACTCTTACATTTATTTTTCACTTATATTTTGTGTAGGAAACACTCCCAGACCTATCCTTTGCTCCCAAATTACCAGAAGCATTCTTTCAAATTGCTAACAGATCCAAATAGCATGTGTAAATGTTGCACAACATACACATTCCTAAGAATTAATGTTTAACAATAGAGTGCCACCACTGAGAAGGTATCTGTAAACAGTGCTTGTTTATATGA